GCAGATGCAAGATCTCTCTCTAACTCTGATTTTCAAATAATAAAATAAAATAAATATTTTTTTAAAAAACGGTGGGGATACTTTGGTCATATTTATACTTGTATATGCACAACAAGGCACTGGAAAGCTTCAAGGCTGCCTATGGAAGGGGAGAAGTGTATGTTTGGAGGAGGGATACGAAAGGAGACTTTTCACTGTAAATGCTGTTATCTTTCAACTCTGAAAAGGAAATGCATGACCTATACAAGAATGTAATTTAACAAGTACTCTGGGAGCCAAGTCTCAATCTGCTACCACCTGTGTTACCCTGGGCAAGTCACTCAGCCCTGGAATCTCAACTGCATAAAGAGAGGGGCAGTAAGCCTTTCTAGGTTCTGTTCTAATTCTAAAACTTTATCTCAGTGGGGAATGGGATGTAAATAGATGATTTAAAAAAAAAGGGATATGAGAGAAGTACTAGTCCAACATTTTGTAAAACAAGGCAACTTTTAGGGACTGATGATTTTCAAACACTGTTTGTACGGTCTTAAGAACTATAGAATTATTAAGCCTATCATTATTTTTTATTATTATTATTTTTTCACAGGCAGAGTGGATAGTGAGAGAGAGAGAGAGAGAGAGAGAGGGAAAAGAAAGGTCTTCCTTTGCCGTTGGTTCACCCTCCAATGGCCGCTGCGGCTGGCGCACCATGCTGATCCGAAGCCAGGAGCCAGGTGCTTCTCCTGGTCTCCCATGCGGGTGCAGGGCCCAAGGACTTGGGCCATCCTCCACTGCACTCCCTGGCCACAGCAGAGAGCTGGCCTGGAAGAGGGACAACCGGGACAGAATCCGGCGCCCTGACAGGGACTAGAACCTGGTGTGCCGGCCCCGCAGGTGGAGGATTAGCCTAGTGAGCCGTGGCACAGGCCAAGCCTATCATTCTTTCAAGAAACCCTTCTCAGAGTCTAATGCAATTTACAGAAAGCACCTATAAAGAATATTCTGCGTGTGATTTTGTTTCTAAAATGATTTTAAATGACTTTAAGCCTTTATATGTCAGTCATAAAGTAATTAACAAAATAAAAACTAAAATAACTTTAAACATATAAACCAAACAGAAGACAAGAAACTTGGTCTATTTAAGGGCATTTATTGTCAGAAACTGCAAATAGAAAAAAAAAATAAAGTAACACCTTCAATCAATCACAGCTATCACTGAATATATACTGTTTTTAGGTATATACATGTATCATATTTGATTCTAACACTCAACTGGCAAAATAGGTCTCGATATCCCTATTTAACAAAAGAAACAGGCTCAAGGAAGATAAGTTCCTAACTTGAGGCCACAAGTGACCGAGCCAGGAGCCCCCCCAGATCCCTTGGTACCAAACCGAAGGAGCAAGGGTGCTTACTGAATGTCAACTGGCAGGCTGGCATAGGTTTGTAGTGGAGCTTTACACCAATTTACATAAAAATGAGGAAACATAGGAACAAGCAAGTAAACTTTTCAAAAAGCTAAATGATTCATTTAAAGGTCTTTTATCCTGAGATTCTGCTGCTCTACCAAATTTTTTACTTAAAATATCTTTTTTCAAAATGAAGTGACCATAGAAGTAGACAGTGATGTGAATTACTGCTCTTATTTTTACTGGCTGTACTTAGTAAAATTTTAAAATGTGCCAATTCTAATGCACTTTCTCAATTTTCTGGGGGAAATACTCACTTCTTTTGAAATCCAAAACTCTAGAACCACTCCCTTACATAATTATGCTCCCAAAATATCAGAGAACTTTACACACAGACACTGGCCCTCCTCAAGATTCTCTCATTAATCCCTACTTTATTTCTATCTGGATTAGGAAATTTAAGGATTGAGAAATGAGAATAAAGTGAGTTTAAGCAATCCAAAAATCCTGTGTGTTAACACTGGATCCTAGAAGAGGACTTTCCCTCAGGGTCTTTTTAGTTTGTTGACTTCTTTAATTCTTTACTTCCAATTCTACTAACTCAAACTTGGGCTCACTTTCTTTTCCCAAAATAATCACATCTCTGAATACTACTGCTACATGGCAATCAAGATTCAAACAAAAGGAACTAACTTGAGGTCTCCAACAACCTGCTCCTACTTGAAGTCTTTTTCACTTTGGCAAAATAAACTTTTTATTTATTCTAGCCACTTCCAAAAGAAAATTAGTCTTAAATCAGACTGACAACACTTTAACTTCCAATTCTCCATTAAAATATGTACTTATACTTGCGGCGCCGGCACACCGGGTTCTAGTCCCGGTCGGGGCGCCGGATTCTGTCCCGGTTGCCCCTCTTCCAGGCCAGCTCTCTGCTATGGCCAGGGAGTGCAGTGGAGGATGGCCCAGGTGCTTGGGCCCTGCACCCCATGGGAGACCAGGAAAAGCACCTGGCTCCTGGCTCCTGCCATCGGATCAGCGCGGTGCGCCGGCTGCAGCGGCGGCCATTGGAGGGTGAACCAACGGCAAAGGAAGACCTTTCTCTCTCTGTCTCTCTCTCTCACTGTCCACTCTGCCTGTCAAAAATTAAAAAAAAAAAAAAAAAAAAAATATGTACTTATACAAATATATTATACATATATATATACTCATATACATATATATGAGTTTACAAGTAGTTTACAAACAGGATGATTAAGCTGGATAAATTTCTTGAAAATAATTTTATATTATAAATGCCAAATATGTTATTTTCTCATCCTATTAGCTTGTCTTATTTCTTACCTATTCTTCAGAAGGCATCAAATTTAAAATATTTTATGTACAAGCTACATAAGTATCAGTTCCAGTCACAACATATTAAAATTTATATTTAAAGGCACTAGCATGGTGGCAGAGCAGGTTAAGCCGTGGCTTGCAATGCCAGCATCCCATTTCCCAAAACTACGCTTCCATCCCATCCTCCTCCTAATGCACCTGGGAGGGTAGCACTGCTTTGCAAAGAAAAGCCAATTTTGAGAACTTGAATAGACTCTTTCCCTGTCCAAATGTCAAAAGGCCCATAAAGCAGAAGATGGCCCAAGCCCTTAGGCCCCTGCATTTGCGTGGGAGACCAGGAAGAAGCTTCTGGCTCCTGGGTCCGGATCGGCGCAGCTCCGGCCGTTGCAGCCAATTGGGGAGTGAACCAGCAGATGGAAGACCTCTCTCTCTCTCTGCCTCTCCTTCTCTCTGTGTAACTCCAACTTTCCAATAAATAAATAAATCTTTTTTTAAAAAAAGGTCCATTAAATTTTCATACACTATGTGCTTCCAGAAAAAAAAAACGGAAACAGTACTAATTCTGCCTAAATTCATTACCAGTATAGCCTCCGAAGGTGTTTTCTTACTTAGATTTTCCACACTGAAATAAATGTGCTGCTGGCGTAGTCCTTTCATGATGCATTTACTCATTCATCTCCTTCTGAGTGCAAGCTACTTTTAAGTAAAAAATCCTTTCCAAAATTAAAATTAACATTAAAATGTTTGCATAAGATACATGCAATGGTTCTCAAAGGTATCTTACTAGAGGGTCTAGTACGTCTTTCTAACTTGGTCCAAAAGAACCAACAACAAATGGGAGCTTTTTGTCACACTGATCTATTTTTCATTATAAACTGATATTACATCTTAAATGCATTTTTAAAAAAAGAATGCTTAATGCATCCACAATGGCAAGTATGTTCTACTCAGAAGTTATAAGAATTTGGTTTAAGGGCAAATGAGATCAAGCACCTGGGCCAGGAAAAGATCAGCAGCCTGAAGTTTGCAAACAGAAACAAGACAGACTCCAATGCTAGCTTGTTCATGTTACCACCAATATGTGGGTCAAAATAAATTAATGACCTATACATGTCTGTCTACCTAGCAATTTACCATCACAGCAAGGGAAGAAACTGCTCAAGTGTGGGTAGTGTTAACAAACATCAAAATATTAGAACAGTCTCCATTAAAATGATAATCCATGAGTTTTGAAATCATTTTTCACTTTTGCTATGTTTTTAATGATCCTCTCTCAAATGAAAAACAATCACTTTTAAAATGTAAACTTCTGTTTTTTCCCCAAAGTAACCTGCCTACGAATATTCAATACATTAAAATAAAATGTAAAAGACAGATCAATTACAACATCGAAAACCCTAAAATTAGCGAAACCAGCTTAGCAAAGTGTGTATTTTTAACCTTTTGTGAGTATCCAATTATGCTAATCAACGACGTTTAAAAGTCACCCTAATTGAGCTTAAAACACTACCACTATGCTTAACACACTCATCTCTTACTCAAATTAAACCGGATTCAAACTCAGATCATTTACCCTTCCTGGACACCCTGAAATACACCAGGGGGAATCCAAGAAATCAGACACGTTAAATGCCGGTATCTTCTTCCAGAGTGGGGTCAAATTCGTGTTTGCCCAAATGTCACCGTCTCAAGAAGTCCTGCAAATTCTCCTTAGCGCGACAGAGTACAAAGAGGCCTGGCTACGGAAACACCTGTCCTCGCACCGGGAAAACAGTGAGCAATGCAACCCCCTGGAGCCCACGCCGGCCACGCAGCCTCGGGCTGCAGAGATCCGGGGGACGAGGGCTGGACACCGGCCCTCACAGCTTCGCCGGGACGGGGGTCCTACACCCCAGATCCGACTCCCAGGGCGAGAACCAGGAAACCTGTCAAGCCTGCTGGGACCCACCCTCGGCACAACCCTCGCGCCCCAGCCTGCCCGACTGCTCCCGGTCCGCTCCGGCCTCCCGCTGCACTCTGCCACCTCATCCCTCCTCGCCGGCCTCGCCGCCCCGCCGCCTCCGCCCCGCAGGCCTGCGCTCCCGCTGCCCCCGGGCCGGACCCCGGGCCGCCGCCCCCCGGGCCCGACTGCGGCCCGGGTCCCAGCGCCGTCGGTCCCTCTGCGGCCCGGTGCCCGCCGCCCCCCAGGCCCGAGCTTCCCGCCGAGCGCTCCCCACCCCCAGCCGCCGCCCGCGCCCCGCTCGGCCGCTCCGGGCCCGCTCCCCTCAGCCGGGATACCTGGAGGTAAGGGCGGCGGAGCACTTCACCCAGGGCCCCAGGTCACAGAGGGCCCGGTGCTCAGGGTCCCGCTCCTTCTCCCGCTCCACGTGGTAGGCGTAGATGGAGAGCAGGATCCCGGCGGCGCACACTGCATACCGGGCCACCCGCTCCCACCGCGGCACCGACACTCTCAGCAGGACGGGCGCCGCCATCTTCCCCCCTCCTCCTCCGCCGCCGCCGCCGCCGCCGCCGCCTCCCTCCGCCTCCACCTCAGCCGCCGCCGCCCGTCGGGGCCCGACCCAGCCGCCGCCGCCGCCGCCACCGCCGCCGCCGCCGCCACCGCCGCCGCCGCCGCCGCCGCGCCCCATTGGCTCGGTCGCCTCCTCCCGGCCCCGCCCCCACAGGCGCGCGGCCCAACCGCCCCGAAAGGAGTGAATCGGGAAGGGCGGGGAAGGCGCGCGCGGGCGCGGAGGGAGGGGGCGGAGCGCGCAACCGCCGGGAAGGCCCGGCTGCCGGCGGAGACGGAGGCGGTGCGGCGCGCGTGGCGGGCGAGGCCGAGGGCAGGGGCGGGGCCAGGGGACGGGAGGGGCGTGGCAAGGCGCGGGGGAGCGGGAGGACCTTCGGGGGCCGTTGCGATGAATCTATTTCAGACACCACAGTGCGTGACTGGACAAGCCCTGGGCCCCGCCTCCTGGGGGGTGGCAATCAATTACCATCCTCTTTTTCCTTTTTTGTCCTTATCACTTGATATTTCTGACCCAATCTGAATTAACCGCGTCCGATGCCCGGAGCAACAGAGCCAGGTTCCCATGACCTGATCGTCCCCAGCACCACCTCCAGGCACCTGTGTTAAACATGTGCAAAACTTTGTGGGGTTTTTAACGTGCAGAACTAGTTTTTAAATTAAAAAAAAAAAAAAGATTTTAAGTGACTTAAGAATGCCTTGCTTCTAAGCTGAATTCGAGGTTGCTTACCATAATCCATATACTGTAGAAAAACAAATAAACTAAAAAATCACAAAGACGAGAAAGACAAGACAGAGTAACCAGGAGTTAAGAACACGGAGACCAGCAGACCACAGGGGCTGCCCAGTTACTAAAACCAAGTCAGAAATTTGTTTCTGAGCTTCCTGGTGGTCAAAACTGGAAGGAAAACCCATGGAAGTGCATCTCACTGTTTAATCATCAGCACACGGTTCCTGGACACTGCCAGCTTTTCCCAGGATGCAGCTCTCCAAGTTCCAGGAGCTTTAGGTAGTGATTTTGAGTGATAAACAATGTCCTGGTAGCAGTTATCTGCTGGGTAACGAGTCACTCCAACTTTTGTAGCTTAAAACAGACGATAAAATGTTCTCACAGTTTCCGAAGGTTAGGGATCTGGGTGCGGCTTCACTGGGTCCTCTGGCTCCAAGTCTCCTTGGTGGCTGCAGCCAGGTTGACAGCTGGAGCTGCTGTCATCTCAAGGCTGGAGAATCGTGTTTCCAGCTCTCTCCTGTGCTGTTGTTGGCAGGCCTCGGGTCTTCTCTGGCTGTTGGCTGCAGATATCAGTTCTTCTCCACTTGTACCTCTCCCTAAGAAGCAGCTGGCTTCCCCCAGGGCAAGGCTTGAGAGAGAGAGAGAGAGAGAGATTACAATTTTTGGATAATATAATTAATCTTGCAAGTGACATCCCATCGCTTTTACAGATTCTGTTACTTAGAAGATAGTCCCTGGGTCCAGCCCACACTCCGAGGCAAAGGATGAGCAGGGCACAGGGTGTGAACACCCGGAGAAGGGGATTAAGGGCTGTCGGCCATGGTCCTCAAAAAGATCCCCACTCTAAATCTAAGTGGACTCTCCAGCCTGCAACTCCCTCCTGCTAGATTCCTTCACTCAGTGCATGAGATTATTGATCGATTGGCTTCTTTCGCTCACCATTATGCCTGTGAGGTTTATCTGCCCTGTTACACATAGCAATTATTATTCCGCATTACTGTGTAAATCGTCCATTCTATGAATGACCACACCATTTTATTTAGCCACTCTGTTGATGGGCATTTGGTCCGTTTTTTAGCTATTACGAAAAAGCTGCCATGAACACTCCTCAAATGTCTTTGGGTGGATACAAGCGCTTAGTTCTATTGGGAATACATACAGGGCAAAATGACTGAATGAGATGGTATTAGTAAAGACCGCCTTTGTCGATTCAGTTGCTCCAGGAAACAGATGCCAAGGTGGAATTGGATGTGCAAGAGACTTACCAGGGACAATGTGAAGGATAGAAGAGGGAGGGAGCAACAGTAGACAAGGACAGCCTCCAGACCACAGATCAATTGAACAATTTGTCTCTGCCCTGCAGGTCAAATTCCCAGAGAGGGGAATATAGGGCTTTTGGGTTTTTTGTTTGTTGGTTTGGTTTGGTTTCATTTGTTTTTTTTTTTTTTAGAGTGGCAGATACTACTCACTGATTGTTTGGAAATTGTGGGTGACTGCTCTGCCCGAATTTTTGCTGCCTGTTCTGCAACACACAAGTCAGCCTCGTTCTACCACTCTCTCCAGTTCCAGGGCTGTGTATAATAACATTCGACCTCGCCTTGGTTTCTAACATGCTCAGGTTAACCCTAATGATCTCAACTTCCTTTTCATGTCGTCTCCTGGCATGCATACCCAAAACATCCAGTCCTGTTGGAACAAATGTAAAGGAAAGTACAAGACCACAAGAGGAGTTTGTTGCAATACGTCGGATTCATTATTTGGGGGCACAATGGATTGGGAAATAAGGCTTTCAGTTCCCTTTGACCGCAGATATCAGAGCAATTTCCTGCTAATTAATATGTGCTTTGACTTTGGATTTTAGTAAGTTTTAGTACAAATATCCAAGAACAAAATCTTTTACTGAATATATATTAGAGACAAATTGTTCAAGCAATCCCAAGCCTGACAACTGTGAGAGCCCTACAGTCTCAGTCAGGCTGTTGAGGAGCATTATAGGAGCTCTATGCAAGGCCCGGGTGGCCTGAATCTAGTACCCCAACCTTTCAGTCATTGGCATGCCTCAGCAGGAGCACAGTGGTGGGCTCACAGGTGGAGCAGCTACAGGCTGGTGGCCAACCAGCCCCCCTTGCAGCAGGCTCTCTTGAAATGAGATTCCAGTGGGATACCACCATGAGGGCCAGACTACCAGTTTTTCCAAAGTGGCTATAACACTTTCAACCCCAACTAGCAATGTATGGGAGTCCCCATCACTCCACTTCTTCAGCAACCCTTGGCATTGTCCATGCTTTTAATTTCCACATTTTGGTGGCTCCATAGAGGGATCACATTGTGGTTTCAAAATTACCTTTCCAGGGCCAGCACTGTGGCGTACTGCATCTGCTGGTTCACTCCCCAGTTGGCCTCAACGGCTGGAGCTGTGCAGATCCAAAGCCTGGAGCCAGGAGTTTCCTCCAGGTCTCCACGCGGATACAGGGGCCCAAGGACTTGGGCCATCTTCTACTGCTTTCCCAGGCCGTAGCAGAGAGCTGGATCAGAAGTGGAACAGCTGAGACTTGAACCAGTGGCCATATGGGATGCCAGCACTACAGACAGCAGCTTCACCTGCTATGCCACAGTGCCAGCCCCACAAAGAGCTTTTTATCCATTGGTTCACTCCCCAAAAGCCCGCAACAGCTGGCGGTGGGCCAAGCTGAAGCCAGGAGTCTGAAACTCCAACTAGTTCTCTCCTGTGAGTGGCAGGGACTCAGGTATTTAAGCTATCATCTGGTTTAAGAGGTCTTTCTATATTCTGATACAAATACTTTGTCAGATGTGTGTCTTTTTTTATTATTTGTTTGTTTTGTTTTTTAAAGATTTATTTATTTGGGCCAGTGCTGTGGCTCACTTGGTTAATCCTCCACCTGTGGTGCCGGCATCCCATATGGGCACCAGGTTCTAGTCTTGGTTGCTCCTCTTCCAGGCCAGCTCTCTGCTGTGGCCCGGGAAGGCAGTGGAGGATGGCCCAAGTGCTTGGGTCCTGCACCCGCATGGGAGACCAGGAGGAAGCACCTGGCTCCTGGCTTCAGATGGGTGCAGCTCCGGCCGTTGTGGCCATTTGGGGAGTGAACCAATGGAAGGAAGACCTTTCTCTCTGTCTCTCTCACTGTCTGTAACTCTGCCTGTCAAATACATAAATAAAATCTTTAAAAATTTATTGCAAAGATCTTCTCCCACACTTGCCTGCCTGTCCACTTTCTTAATGCTCTTTTTGATCGAACAAGAGAGCTGACTTCTTTGAATTCCTCATACACATTCCACTACCTCTTATCTCAGAGCTTGCACAAGCATATCCACAGCAGAGCTAGCTCTTCTTCCTGGAAGACTTTCCCATGGCTCTGCTAATAGTCAGGACTGGTGACAGAAACCCAGCTCACCAGGCAAAGGACTCAAGAATAAAATTCATGGGAGGCTGTTGTTTTGGAATAAGCCCCTGCACTCAGCCCAGCAGGGCAAACCAAAATGGAGTCACTCGTGGCACATTCCAGTGTCATTGAACTAAATTATTTATCTGACTTTCTATGAAATCAGGAGAGTAGTGCTACTCAAATTCCCAAATAGGCCAGTTTTAGCAGGCATGATGAAGAAGGCTCCCTCTGCTTTCAGTCTTTCAGGGAAAGTCACCTTAATAACACAGTGTTAACCAATCTGGTTTTTTGTATTATGCGGTTTCCTTGTTCCTGAACAAGCTGCAACATAGAAACCAACCATTCTGCCATGCATAGCAGATCGCCCAGATCTACACCTTTAGATTAAGCATCGCTTGATTCATGGGTAGCTGGAAAGAAGGGGTCCTGGGGGTGGCAGCCTGTATAGACCAACAGGACCAGCCCTCCCAAAGAACAAGACGTTGGTCTGGAAAGCAGGAAAGAGAAATTGGAGAGCTAAAGCTGGAGGTGAATCCGTTCATTTGTTTCACAAGTATTTATTGAGTACCTATTTCATGCTGGGCACAGTCGCAGAGGTTGGGACCACAAGGGAGAAGATGATTGACAGGTGTTTAAGTTTTTTTTTCCCCCTCTTAGAATATTGTCCCCGGTTCTTCAACACTGGTACCAAGAAGGAGATCTGCGTTGGCTCAATTCACCATGCCAGAACCAGAAATCTGAAAAGGATTCTACAAACTTGCTCATGGCCTACACTTGCTTTGCTGAGTCGGAATTCTGTGCTCTGCATTTTCAGCCAACGTTTCAGGTCTTAGCAAGGACAGAACAGAGTCCTCACGGTGTGACAGTAGCTGATCAGAAATCTTTCCATAGCAGCATCTGACCACCCCAGGCCTCCCCACATCCTTCGGGGAATCACCCCTAGAAGAGATCGTCCTACTGAGAGGAGAAGGATTTGTCATCTTTGCATCCAAGGGAAGAGGGATTCCGTTATCATCCCATTATTGTCAGTCCACACAAAATGCTCCTTTTAAAGGCTGGACAAGGACTGGCCCAAGAAACATCCTTTGCATGCAGATGGCCTGCTGAGCCTCCAGGCAGAGAAGATGTCTCTATAGCACATTCCTGCACACTAGGCGGTAAGTTCTATTGAAACTTCCCAAGATCTGTACAAGATAGTTGTCATGAGCTCCACTTTTCATGTTAGAAAAATAAGTCTCAGAAGGCTAAGAGCCCAATTACTGCAATCAGTAGAGCTCCAAGTAGCAGCCAGGCCCGTCTGAGTATAGTGTTTCTCTTCTCACCAGCACCTCTGACTTCTCCGTGCTAAACCACACGCAAGGGGATGCAGATGCTCTGTTCATTACCCAGGAATGAATGGATCATGTTTCCCAACCTTCCCTTCGGTCCTGTTTCAAAAGCAGCCATGACTTCCCCCACCAGGCCTCCCATCCCTTTCATTCCATTCTAAGTCCTTTGCCTGTGTGAACTTGTTTCATACCAAGAACAACTTTTAAAGTGGGAACTGGTGTTTTGCTGTGTTTTGCAGATAAGGAAACAGGCTCAGAGAGATGAAGCAAGAGCTAGGAAGTTGCAGGACTAGGATTCACACCCCATCAGTCTGGCTCCCCGATTCATGCTGTTAACCTCTGTGCCATGAGTTAACACGGAGAAATAGGATTTTACCACCGCTTCACTTACTATGTGTTTTACTTACTTACCTTGTTTATGTCTGTCTCTCCCAGGAGATTGTAAGCCCCATGAGGACACAGCTCTGTCTGTCTCGTTAACTACTGAATCCAGAACAGAGCCTGTGGGCCAGTGCTGTGCTGCAGCAGGTTAAGCTGAGGCTTAGGACACAGGTATCCCATACTGGAGTGCTGATAAGTCCGGCTACTCCAGTTCCAATCCAGTTCCCTGCTGATGAACCTGGTAAAGCTGCAGAAGATGGCGCAAGTGCTTGGGTTCCTGCCACCAATGGTGGAGACCTGGATGGAGTTCCAGGTTCCTATGTTCAGCTTGGCCTAGCCTGGGCTGTTGCTGCCATTTCAGGAGTGAACCAGTGGATAGAAGAGCTCTCTCTCTCTCTCGCTCTCTCTCTCTCTCTCTCTTTGCCTTTCAAATAAATATTTTTTAAAACCACATAGAATAGGACCTAGCAAAGATATTTTGAATGAATGAGTAAATGAATGAACACTCAGAAATG